ACTACTACCACTACCACCGCTCCTACCACGACCAGGACGTCGACATGCAAGACACCCGGTTGGTGGGGCTGTTTGGACGAAAGCACAACCACTACGACCACAACTTCTACGTCCACGACCACGACCACGACCACGACCACGACCACGTCAACATGTAAAACCCCAGGGTGGTTCGGCTGCAAGGACCCGACCACAACGACTGAGGCAACTCCTGCCCCATCTGTCACAACCACCATAGCCACCCCAACTACGTACCCAACTTCTTTTACCTCCACATGCGAAGACCCTGGATGGTTCGGTTGTCGCGACCCCACCAGCACGACAGCGTCCATCACATCTTCCACAACATCCACCTGCAATGATCCGGGTTTCTTCTGGGGTTGCTATGACGATTCGACAACGGCAACTCATCCCATCACGCCCGGGCCGAGTGCACCATACTCGACCCCCTCCCCTACGAACAAACACACATGTACTTCCAGTATTTTCTTCGGCTTGATTTGTGTTGGGTCGACTGGCACCGAACTACACTAGAGATTTCACCCAGCATCAACGCTCAATAAGGGTGTGCTTGCGAATCATCTCATCATACGAATCATCTCATCATACCCACCATTTGCATAAACTTCATGATGACCGTATACGAGCGACTGTTTTGGACTTTATTCTTTGGTTCTCTTTTGGCGCGGTGTCTTGAAGGCGTTCTGCGTTAGTGATTCACCTGATCATTTGTTTTTTGGGACTGGTCACGCTTACTGGTTACATTGATCTTGACGTTAGTGTGAGCTGTTTTGTCTTGGAAACCATCCCGTTGATGTAGAGAGATTGGAATTTAGATACCGATTTGTTATTGGGATACACTCGGATTAATTTGTCAGTAGATGTTGTTTCAACCTATGTGTCTTGAATAGAGTTTCATATGCAATCCAATTGAAGTTATTCCTTTCCATTTTCTCTAAGCCCGATGGAGCATCTAGAGGACTTAGCAGACGTTCGAATGCAGCTGTAAGCAGCTATCTACTTGGTGGTTGATACTAAGATGAGGCACACCATGCAACAGATGGTGATGCTTGCGGTTCCTAGTAGCAGTAATCAGGTAACATGTCTCAACAGGCTGGATTTTAAACAGAGATGCGTGTTATTTGGTCTAACAACAAAATGAGATGTCTAATGTCTATACCGCACCGGTGATGGTGTAGTAAACGCGCCCGTGGGGTGGTTCAGCAAGTACCTTACCTTGGCCGGGTCGCCAAAGTCTAAGATCCGTGAATAGAGCCGATTCGAGTACAGAGACCAGCTACTGGGTGTCCAGACTACCCGAGGTATTACGCGATGAATAGCAACATTCACGAGGCGGCTATCCAGTATGCTTACATCTCGGTCGACCGATTCCGTACTTGAAGCCCGGCAAGAGGTCTTGGATTGGGATTTATATCAGCCAAATACGCCTTCCGGCCCTAGTGAGAGACTCATTGGTTGACGACCGTCTTCGAGACCCTTGAAATTGACTTTGCTTGCCATGTGGCGTCGCTATCAAACGCCGTGGTTGGTAAGGCAGGGATTGATTATAGTGATCAATTATTGGTCCGAAACAGAGGACATAATGACTTTCGGGAATGTAATCGATCGGCTTTGACAACGATTCAATCCCGGTCTGATATTGGAGAGGCCGATGGAAAACTGGCGAGATAGGTCGACGTCAGCTAGACGTTGGACCCCAGGATTCCTGGCCAGCTCCAGACAGGCCTCAATATGCAGTTTATGTAGATCAATTTGAATGACAGTTTGTGGGGTGCATTAGCATATCCCTTACATTTGGTTTTGGCCGAAAATTGAAGGAGACGATCCGTCATCTGCAGATGTTGAACATGGTTGATATTCAGCGGCCATACAAAAGTCACTACGGATTCCGGTTTCCGACGCTCAGAAACCGAGATGCCTCGTTTTCTGCGCTCTGAAGCGCGTTACTTGGGGTTTTATGGTGCTGGCCGTTCACATGACGGGCTGGAGAAAGCATATTTGCAATCTCGAAACTTAATTCGGTCGTTGATGCATTGGAAAGGCGCTCGTGGTGATCCTGAAGGCGCATTCCTGACCTCCGCAGATCGACTGTTAGAATGCGGGACATGTCGAGTGACTAAATCTTTTCCCCACGCTAGATCTGTGGAGTCTGGGGTTAGAAATAATCTAATTTATGGTTTCAGATTCTAGCCAGATGATGAGAATATGAAAAACCTCATTGTTGTCACTGTGCTGGGTGACTGATGCGATGTGCTGGTGATGGCACTCGGTCGGGAGAAGAGGCCGGATAGCATCAATGACCACCGCAAATTCTGCGCCTATAGAAAAGAGACATGGAAGAAACAAGCTTAGAGCCCTAAGCCGGTCTCGAAGCCAGAAGCCAGAAGCCTCCAGCCCGACAGCCATAGCCAATGCAATCCTATTCTCCTAGAAACTTCGAGCGAATCCCATCACCTCGCTCAACTACACTAACCGGCTAAGGTAGTAACCGCTCCAGAAACAAAATTCAAACTCTTCTTCTTCCACTCTCTGTTCCCCGCAAAAAAGCCTCGTGTCGTGACCCGGCCAATATTCATTGAGCCAATCCTTTGGCCTGAAATTATATTTGCTTCTAGTCCTAACTGAGAGAAAACAACAGAAGTTCCCGGACTTTTTTCTCTTTCTCTGGAGAGGTACTAGCTAGTAATCACAAGATCACGATCCTACCCTCCATACGCTCAACCCGGTTCCTGAGCGTGAGGTGGGGGTCCTTCTCTTGTTCTCCTCCGAGGCCTTAAATTCAGCGATCGCCCCTGGTTTTTCTCGCTTCTCTATTCTCTATTCTCCATTTCCAATACATGTTACCTTGACACGGAACATTCATTCTCTGGACATTCTAGACCGTGTGGTCCCATTGTACAAATCATCCACAACTACCTTCTACACCCCTCGGTTCGGCTGAAGGTCGTCAATTGCACTCGCATGATGGCTTCCGAAAAGGCGCAGGATGCCATTGGGCCAGCGGGGGCGTACGATTCTCGTCGGGATTCCGCAGGGTCTGCGGCCAAGGTCATTCACAATGCCAGAGCGGCGACGGAGAAAGAGCATCGCATGACGCTCTGGGAAGGCATCAAAACCTATCCCAAAGCTGTTGGGTGGAGCTTGCTGATCTCCACCTGTATTGCCATGGAGGGCTACGATATCAGTCTTGTCAACAATTTCTATGCCTTCCCGCAGTTCAATCGCAAGTACGGTGAGCTCACGGCAAATGGGTCATACGAAGTGCCGGCTAGGGTAAGTTCTGCGCCCACCTAACCTCCTTTGTGCGATATGCGTGCTAAGATGTTGTATAGTGGCAAGCAGGTCTTAGCAACGGCGCCGCGGTTGGAGAGATCATCGGCCTCTTCCTCAATGGCTGGGCTTCAGAACGTTTCGGATACCGCTATACTCTCATTGCCTGTCTCATCTTGATCACCGCTTTCACCTCCATCTTTTTCACGGCCCCGAACGTTCAAGCTTTACTTGCGGCCGAAATCCTCGCTGGTATTCCGTGGGGTGTGTTCCAGACTCTCACAATCACGTATGCCTCGGAAGTGTGCCCCGTGGCTTTGCGCGGTTACCTGACCACCTACGTCAACTTTTGCTGGGGACTCGGACAATTGATTGGTATTGGAGTGATCAGATCAATGATTAATCGTAACGATGAGTGGTCGTACCGCATTCCCTACGGCCTGCAGTGGATGTGGCCTGCGCCGTTGCTTCTTGGCATCCTCCTGGCCCCGGAATCGCCCTGGTGGCTTGTGCGGAAGGGCAGGACCCAGGATGCTAAGAAGGCATTGTTGCGATTGACCAGTGTGCAGGAAGACTTTAATGCGGATGAGACCATTGCCATGATGGTTCATACGACCGCGCTAGAAGAGAAGATCACCCAGGGCGCCAGCTACCTCGACTGTTTCAAGGGCACTGACCTGCGCCGAACGGAGATTGTCTGCATGGTATGGGCTATGCAGAACTTGAGCGGCAACTCCTTCTCGAATTACTCTACCTACTTCCTCAAACAGGCCGGCTTGGACGCGTCCAAGGCCTACTCTTTCGCCATGGGCCAGTACGGCATCAACATGGCGGGAGTCTTCGGCGCATGGTTTCTCATGACACTGGGCGTTGGACGCAGAACGCTGTACCTATGCGGTCTCTGCGGTCTCTGCGTTATGCTCCTCGCCATGGGCTTCCTCGGTCTGGTACCAAAGGCGCACCGAGACCAGGCATCTCTCGCCACGGGCTCTATGATGATTTGCTGGGCGCTGGTCTACCAGCTGACGGTGGGAACGGTGGCCTACTCTCTCGTTGCCGAGCTCTCCACCCGCCGCCTGCAGATCAAGACCGTTGTCCTGGGCCGCAACCTGTACAACGTCGTGGGTATCATCTGCGGTGTCTTCACGCCGTACATGCTGAACCCTACAGCGTGGGATTGGGGCAACTACACCGGCTTCTTCTGGGGAGGAATCTGCTTCCTCTGCATCATCTACACTTACTTCCGTGTCCCTGAGCCCAGAGGCCGATCGTTCGCCGAGCTGGACCTTCTGTTCGAGCGTAAGGTCAGCGCAAGGAAGTTCGCTACCACGCAGGTCGATGTCTTCGACGAGACTGTCGAAAGCCAGGTGGTGAGCGACTACCATGCCCAGCAGATGGCCGGGCTCGGTGCGACGCCGTCGGAGAAGCGAGCGGTGGAGACGACGCTCGCTGCATGATTGATGAAATTGCGTTGCCTCGGCCCTTTTGGAGAAATGACCCGGCTGAGATTCGGACACGATGTACTGTACATAATCTTATTCACGCAATACAATTGACGCTTCTAATGCCACGTGCCGGTCCATGTTATATATGATGTCAAGCGCACTTGCTTTTTCTGCCTTAATAGCCAGTCAATAGGAATAATACTGAAGATCTTCCTTTCCTCAATCAACTTGCTAAATATCTAGATTACTTGCATATGCAATTTCCTACTCGTGAGACCACTCGGGCTTCTTCTTCTCGGCAAACGCGGTCATTCCTAGTCATAGTCAGTTAGGCTACGTCGGCCAGTAACTCAATCGCAAAAAGGAGACTCACCAATCTTCTGATCCTTGCTTCCAAATAAGCCATGGAACAAACGCCTCTCATACTCCACGCCCTCCCTGAGCGAAAGCTCCTGACTCTTATTCACCACCTCCTTGGCAGCCAGCACACTCACCCGACTATATCCCGCAATTGTCTCCGCGGTCTTAAGCGCCTCAGCGAGTAGCTCCACTTGCCCACCCTCGACGGCCTTGGCCGCAACACCCCACTGCTCCGCCTCCTTGCCGCTGAAGTTCTTCCCCGTCAGAATCAGCTCCATCGCCTTGCTCTTGCCGACGGCGCGGGTGAGACGCTGCGAGCCGCCCGCGCCGGGGATCACACCGAGCTTGATCTCGGGCTGGCCGAAGGTGGCGCTGGCGGTGCAGTAGATGATGTCGCACATGAGGGCGAGCTCGCAGCCGCCGCCCAGGGCGTAGCCGGAGACGGCGGCGATGACGGGCTTGCGGACGGAGTTGGCGAGGTGCGACCAAGGGGCGATGAAGTTGTTGGTGTAGGCGGTTGAGAAGGTCAGCGGGGCCATTTCCTTGATGTCGGCGCCGGCTGGATGGCATCAGCATGGTGTACGTGCTAGATCAATAATGCATGCATTACTCACCGGCAAAGGCCTTTTCGCTGCCTGTAATGACGACCGCCCCGATCTCTTTATCTTCCTCGTATTTAGATAGGGCATCGTTGAGTTCCTTGAAGAGGGGGCTGGAGAGGGCGTTGAGTGCCTTGGGGCGGTTGAGGGTGACTGCCGAGTGTCAGACATCTGTCAATGGACCCATCTAGGCTTGAATACGATCGGGGGTAATGACATACTCAGCCCAACGCCAGGCTTAGGATTCGAAGTGAGGATGTGTTCGTACATCGGAGCAGCGGATGAGTAGGGTCTGGCAACACGGCTAAGGTAGGATGTAAGAGGAATAGCAGTCCTGGACGAGACCAGGCGGGAGCATTGCCGGGAGAACATGGTGAAAGGGATTTGATGAAGGTGAGATTAGGTAAGATTGGTTGTTGGAGCAAGCTGTAGGTTAATTTGAAGCGCAGTCCAACAGTACTTTTAAGTGCCAGCTCCTAGATACTGCTCCGTACTTATGATGCTACACCCCGGTTATCTCCCCGCAATCGCCGAAGGGAACCGTTGCTCCGAGGCAATGCGGAGCACGTGAACTGGCTTTGATTATATAAGATGGATCTAACCTTAGTCAGGCTAGCGTGTATTCTGTCATCTCCCCTGAGGCGCAGCAGATGTCGATGTGGCTGGTTCTGCCGAAACGGGTTAGTCGACGGCCCAAGCTGAGCAGTGGACACTTTTTCTCTGCAGACGGACAGACAGCAAGACGGAGAGAGCGAGAGAGATAGCATCTTTGTTCCGCCCCTCCAGCTTCGTCGGTGCCGGTGGGAAATATCCCCTTGTTTCTTGCTCACAGGACGTTTTTCTTGACCCGCAAGTATCTCCTCGCATTAGTGGTGGTCCACGACTTTTCTTAATCCTTTTTCTTCTTTCCCCCATCTTGTCGCTATGGATGTCCCCGAGCCAGAACAGACGCCATTCACGGCCGTGACAGCGCAGACCTCGAAGCTTGCGCGGGTAAGTCAACTCCATTCACCATGAATCGGACTGCAAAGATCAATTCATCTTGTCCCTCAAAAAGCTTCCGGCTGATGATTCCGATGATAGCAATACCAAACGTCCCTCGATGCTCTGACACCCTACACAACCTACCGGTGGATCGGCACCGTCGTCCTCCTACTCATCTTTTTCCTGAGAATCGTCTTCGCTCAGGGATGGTACATTGGTATGCGACGGTCCCTCTTGTCTCTTCACTTTTTCAACCCGCAACTTACTAACATCCTACCCATGCTTACAGTCGCATACACTCTCGGCATCTACCTCCTGAACCTCTTCCTGCTCTTCCTTCAACCCAAATTCGACCCCTCCCTCACCCAAGACGAAGGCCTCGAGGATGGTGACGCCTCCGCCAGCCTCCCCACCAAGCAGGACGACGAGTTCCGCCCCTTCATCCGCCGCCTCCCGGAGTTCAAGTTCTGGCACTCCGCTACGCGGGCCATCGCCATCGGCTTCGTCTGCTCGTGGTTCTCCGTCTTCGATATCCCGGTCTTCTGGCCCGTCTTGGTGGTCTACTGGATCATCCTTTTCGTGCTGACGAGTAAGTTCCCTTGCATTATAAAGTAGCGTTTGTGCGCTTGTGCTTACCAGCTTCTGTGAAACAGTGCGCCGACAGATCCAGCATATGATCAAGTATCGCTACGTGCCTTTCTCCTTCGGAAAGACCAGATACGGCCGTTCATAAGAGTCACGAACCCCTTGAGGGTGGCGGCCGAGTACACGTACATGGGTGCTGCTGCGGAGTACATGCAGCACCTGCTTCTGGGCCGTCCTTCGAAGAGCGGGTACACGTTTTATCCTTGGAGATAGCGTGTTGGTACCCGCGAGGAAGGACAAAATCCCAGTACTGATGTTGATTGATGATGACCCCTGTGTGATCTGAATTAATGAGCCGACTCCTATTATTTATTATTGTACAGAGCTTCCAAGTCCGCAATGCTCGAATCTTGTTCCTTTCTCTTCGTGCCATTTTCAACCATACTCATTGTATTGATTAGACAGTTGTGTATCTTCTACGTATCAAGGGATCTATTCTGAAATAGACAACCGAATCTAATGATGAGACCTCATCGTACAGAATAAATTAACATTAGGAAGCTGGTACGATGTGGAAGACAAATTGGCCCGGCCAATACAGCGCTTTTGCATAAACACTAAGTAGCCACTCTAGCAACATCAATGGATATATAACACCTGATTGATCATGAAAATCAAAATCCCTCGCCAGACATTAAAAACGAAAACATGCCATTCATCTCATTAAAATCTAAAGGAAAGAAGAAAAAAGGAAACACATCACTCATATTTCAAGGTGCTCCACACTGTGTGACCGCTTGCTGCTGCCGTCACCCAAAGACAAGGCCGACATCGTCCGGCCGGGAGTTGGGCGTTCCAGCTCCTTGGTCTTGGTACAGATCCACGTCGAGGCATACATGTTCACACTATCGTATGTCAGCGATTGCATCGGTAATGATCAGGGAATATTGAAAACTTACCGATCGATGCACGAACCGGGGAAGCGGGCGCCGACACGGCGAGCTGTGAACCCATTCTCTTCGAATTGCTTGATATACCAGGGCTCGATACTGGCAGAGCGGAGGAGAATGCGACCGTCCATTTTCAGGGCGTGATTGAGTTTCTGGGCTTGGATCGATGCTTCTGTGCCTTCGGGATCGAACCAGTCCATCGAGTCCATGATCTGGAAGATGGGTTAAATCGGTTTTCTGGGGAAAATTTACAGGGCGGTGCTTACCACAGCGATTGTCAGGCTCCGGGGTGTGATCCGCTTGATCACTTCGTTGATCTCATCTGTGTGAATACGTAGGCCGTCGAATGCACCGGGCGAAGAAAGCTTCACATGTGCTTTGGGAGACAAGTATGTGGGATGGCATCTGGGATTCAATTAGATTGGTCCGCTCGAAACCATCGGTAGGCAAATCTCACCTTCTCGAAAACTGTCCCTGAAGACACAAGAAATAAAAGTAGTTATCGTTGCTGATCATAGTTTCGTTGATGACGGGGTCCAGTGTGTCGACGACGTATTGCCAGATCGACCGGCCACTGATATCTTTTCCTTGGTTCATGTCCTTGGTCAGGCCCAGTCTCTTGAAGTAGTCGTCAACGATCATGTTCCGCTGGTTTCGAGGCACGCCCGCGGCCTTCCACGCGAACCATTCGGTGCTGACAACCGCCCAATGAAGGGGCTTGCTCATGAGCACGGCGCGAATCCTTGGCCAAATCTCACGCTGCTCAGCAAGAGTCTGCGCCTCGCACAGCTTCTTTACCTGGCCCTCGAGACCAAAGACCTTGAACAGGTACCGAACCATCTTGATGGCGTGACGTGAGCCACCGGTCTCATAAAGACCCTTGCCATATTTTGAAGTGAAGATGTGAGTGTGCTCAAGCCAGTACTGGAATGCCTGGCTGGAGAGATGAGGGCTAAGACGAGAAATGAGGAGTTCCCGGAATTCGGGGTGCTTTCCCTCGCCAAAGATTTTCCAGACATCGCGATAACCGAGAGCCATGAAACTAGCAACCTTGAGTTCAAGCAAATGGTTCTGGTTAGGGTTCAGGTCGACGGCATGTACTCTCCGTGGACTCTTCTGAAGGTAATCCAAGATATTGTCTCCTGCGCTGGTAATAGCCAAGATAACGTCATCCCGCTTAATGTCCAGGAGGCGGTGATCCACCCGAGGATCTTCCCAGTTGAAAGCATAAATGTACTCATTCTTGAACTGCGTGTGCTTGGGCAGCAGATCATTGTAGAAGATGCGGCAGTGGTGGTTCTGGTAGAAGGACGCCGGAAGAGGGAGGTTCGCGCTCAGGTTGATAACGGCGGACTCGTAGGCTTTGGAACGAACCTCTTGAGCGCTCCTCTCCATTGCTTTCTCCATCTCCTTGGTGTGATTGGCGGGAGAAAGATAAGGCGATTCGGTAAAGGAGGCATCCAACTTCTCGATTGTCTCCTGACCGGAGAGATTCGATGTAAGATCCTTCTGACGTCCAACGAAGATGTAGTAAGGAATGCCACCCAGAAGATAATTGCGCTCGCTGGCAGAGATGACGGTTCCAAAGCGGTATTCCAGGTAGTCTCTGCGAGCTGCTTCCAGACTGACACGATCCGCATCGAACCAGGCCCGCCAGAAGGCACGACCCAACCAATTAACGTGACGATTGAAAGCACCGCCAATGTAGTTGCGGGCAGAGACGTCCACGATACTTTGGACTATTTCCATGAATTAGTCCCCGTCAAGTCAGAAGGCTTGTACGCTGCTTACCATAAAAGTCGCAGACACCAACGATACCAGACGGTCTCAAAAGGTCTGTCAAGGAGTCGACAACACTGTAGTAGTCTGTATTCAATGAGTACGGACGGCCTCAATTCTTGTTGTTTCAAAAAAACTAACCAGGAATCATGGACAGGCTGTAGCTCATGGTGATAAGGTCTGCGCCTGCAGCTGACGGGGCTGGGGCACGGGGGTCGACTTTTTCTTGGGGAAGACGGAAAGAGCGAGCATCTTGGCAGACGACGGTGACATTCTTCCAGCCTAGGCGCTCGAATCGCTGGCGGGCAACCTCGCAAAGAGAGGGAGACAGGTCGACAAGGTAGACGTGCGAGAAGAATTGGGTAACTGGCAGAAAGGCAGCCATGGCTTCAATGTTGTAGCTAATTTACGGTTAGGCCTCGAATCAGGACGACAACTTGATTTGACTTACCCAGTGCCTCCGCCGATCTAAGCAACGAGTGTCAGCATGCGCGAACAATAAGCGATATCGAGGTGCCTTACATCAACCCAGATTGCCTTCCCGGCCGGGAGCTCTTTGTTCTCAACTTTGTACTTCAATTGCGCGGCAACAAGTCCCAGCATATCCTCGCGGCCACAGAGAAGACGCTTGCGAGTGGCATCATATACACCAGCCTAGCCAGTAGATCAGTAAGAGCCCCCCAGATAAATCGCATTCGAAGCTCATACCTGAGTCTTGTAGAAGCTTTCTAGCGCATCTTGCTGGCCGTTGAGACCCTTCTTGTGGGGTTTAAGGAACGATGCGTAGATGAATCTGAGGTAAGTAAAGATACCACGATTGTAGTCAAACTTCTTGTGCTGGGATGCCAGCATGAGAACCACACCGACAAGTGCGCAAACTAAAAAGCCGGCACCTGCAATGTACGCGTGAATAGGCTCCATGCGGTTCAGAAATGAACCAGCAGGAGTGCTGCTGAAGGAGCTCATGGCAAAAAAGCGAAGAAGTGCTCAAGGTCTCAATCCCTAACTGAGACAAAATGGAACTGAAGTTGACTGAAAGCAACCTCGAGAGAAAAGGGCACTTGAGAGAAAATGGCGCGTTCTTGAATCAACAGCGCAACCATCAGTTCAGGACAAGGGCAATTGAATGCATCATAAGGATGCCCCACCATGACCCCTCGGTCGTAAACGTTGGCTCCCAATATCGGAGCAACATGGGTCGCCATATCCTATCAGGACCACACATGGTCCTGACTCCCGAGGGGAGAAGATGCGAAGGTCAATCAGAGCAATGTGGCATCGCAAGTAGCGGGAATGTTGCGAAAAGTGGTTCAATATGGAGACCTGGGCCAGAAGATAGTCAAACGCGGCTCGATGGGGCAGCTGATAGGCCGTAGCGTACAGGTAGTCTTCAACGTTCACAGGACGCTATTGGATAATTGTAACGGGGGATCTGCTAGAATACACTGCAGCACAGAATTGGGAAAAGGTACGTAGGTACCCGGACGAGGTAGGAGCAGCTAGAGGCATCAACGCCCTGGCAAGTAGGAAAGCAGAGTGGCAGCATGTGCGGGAAAGCGGTGGACGTGGAGCCTCGTTCCACTCAAGAGTCGCAAATAATCGCAGTCGACCGAGTGCCCGTGGGGAGAGCTGATCATATTAGCGATCACAATGAAGGTTAATGCGGCGTCTCGTTTGTCTGGATTGCTTTAATGTATGAGATGTGCGGAGCCAATCACAGCGCGGTCCGCCAGCACATTTCAGCTTTAGGGACTCCGTAAGGTCCAGTTGATCGTCCTTGTGCATCCCTGGATCGATAACAGAGAGTCGCGCTGACGATTATCGTTCACATTTATCCGCCACTGCTGAAGTCAGGATACATTGATTGAATCTCGACGAGGGATTGCAATCTGCTCAATGAAACGTTGAGGAGGTGCATGTGGGAATATTGGAGAGGCGGAGGTTTGAGGGGAAACAACAGCAGATGACAATTCGGGTATAGCGGCATATCACTCTACTGTCATCCGCATAGAGGACCAGAATACTATGCGATTTACCATAATAAAGGATTACCCGTAAGGAGTACCCGTTCATCCCTCTCGATCATGGATTTCTACCTATAAAAATGTTTCGATTGATAGTGCATCATGAGGCGCCAGATGAACGGTCAAGTAGTACATCTTGCTTGCCCTAAATCCTCCTGGAGCCGTATAAAGCTAGTTGACTACGTTGACCTGGAACTAGGACACTCTAACCATCCTTGACCGACAATGTGCTTGGTCTAGCAGATACTTTGCTCGGTCCTTGACTAGCAGCGTCATTCAGGGATTTTCAAGACAGCTCGTCCGTCAATTTCAGCCCTCTCCAGTCTTTGTAGAACGTCATTGATACAGGAGAAGTCAAAACACTCGATGTGGGCTTTCACGTCCCCTGCCAGAGCCATACTTAGTAGCTCTTCCATCTCCTTTGCTGTACCAGCGGAATTTCCGACAATGGTGAGACCTATTGACCAAGAGACTTAGTACTGACCCAAATCGAAATGAGCTGGACTTCACCTCACGGCGCTTCATACCTTTCACAATCATGTCGAACGGGGTTGCCGGTAGTCGAAACGGCCTGTTCGGGATACCAACGCAAACTAAAACCCCCAGACTGCGGAGCATCTGCATGCTTTGAATGTATGCCGACTCACTGTTCGCCGTGCAAATCACCGCGTGGGCGCCTAGGCCACGAGTAACAGACTTGACCCTAGCATCGATATCATCCTTTTTATAATCAAAATAGTCCGCCGCCCCAAGCGAGAGACAGAGCTCCCTCTTTTTTCCCCCACTGGGCCAAAAATCAGCGAGTAGATTCATTGTTAATCTCACAGCTGACTTTACCTGTCAATCGCAATGACCTTGAGTCCCTTCTTGACTGCGATCTGGATCCCCCTGACAATACAAGTCAATCATCCACTGCCGCGCGGTCTATGAGACGTTGCATACATGTGCCCGAGTCCTCCACCAGCCCCAAGAATCACAATCCAATCCCCCGGTCGGGTTTTTGTCTTCATTATCGACGAGTACATGGCAATTCCCGCTATTCAAGGATTGGTTAATGCGCCAGGGCCATCTGACTTGGACAAACGCACCGCATAAAAGTGGTGCTGCTGTATCGGGGTCCAGCTCGGGCGGGATAATTGTGACATGTTCGGCAGGACTGACAATGAATTCTAATCAAGGTGTCAACCACACTCAGTCGATACTGCGACAGAGGAAGAAGGTCAACTCACGTTGGAACGTCCCTGGGACATTCTGCCTCAGATTAGATCTGTTGAAGCAGCTGCAACGCATTTATCCTGCCCGTGACAGTGAACCTACCGCACCAGCGTTCTTCTGATAAGGACAAGCCGTATGATTGATAGCGCAGATTTCGCACTTCAAGCACGAGCTGTAAAGCCATCTGCGATGGACAGCACGTTTTGTTAGGTCTCGAGTCTAAATTCGAATGAAGCAGGGGAGAAGACAAACCGTATCCCCACTCTTTTGCCCATCCAAGCCTCCTCGTCCACGTTAGATCCAACTAAGAGATGGGCGGTACATCAGAACCCTTAGACATTGCAAGTCTGCTCTATGCGCCTCACCTTGCACTACCTTCCCTACTCCCTCGTGACCTGCGACGTCTGTTAACATGAGGGTGTCCCCACGAATGCTATGGACATCTGAATGGCACACTCCGGAATATTCGAGCTTGATGAGCACTTCCCCTTGCTTTGGAGATGGCACAGGGTGTTCAGTTGTAATCTCTACCCGTGCACTTGGGGACTTTCTGGGTGCTGACACGACTGCTGCAATTTGTGTTTGAGGAACTGCCATGACTGCGATAATGTGGTGTCGAGAGGATTTCCAAGTACGTCAACTAACGAGTATCCAAACTGAAAGCCGACAATGCTGGGCCGGAGTCAAGGGTAGCACATATATGAGTATTGAACTATCTGAGATCTCTGCCTGAATTACGGTCGCTTTGACTAAATCAGGTAGTTCTATGGTTGATAAATGCGGGGATAATCTGGTAGCGGTATCATCAGTAGATCGGGCGATTAAACCAGGGCATTGATTGGTGCAGGGGTCAACGATAGAGAGCAACCATTGATAAGAATTGGAGATTGCTGGTTGTGTCAACTGATAGAGGAGCGCTGATGCTGGACTATCAATTAGGAATCACTGATGAACCTATACTGACAGAATGACACTGATCCAGCGAGACAAGTACCAGCTATGTGGACAAGAAAGCTGAGCTATTTTGAGTGAGAGTCGAAAAGGCCGAAGGCTAATGGGCATTCCACACCACACCTGGCCCATTCAGAACTAGCAATTACTGTGAACAGCATGATCGGAACTTCTGGAAAGCCAAGTACAAGTCTTGCAAGATCAATCAATCCCTTGCCGAGTTAAATTAGGATATTATGCTAAATTTGCCAAGCCGCAACCAAACCTGTACTGTATAAAAGACATGGACTCCGCGCAGCATAACAGAGTCGGTAAGAACGGAAAGAAGCTGGGGTACCTCGGACTCATTAAATAAACAACATTTCCGAGTCCTTGAAGGGGGCATCTGGACGATATATAGAACGCAATGGAAGCAGACGGGGGTCTATGACAGAGATTGAACAACGCCAGCGCTTATGCGTTCTCCGCTTGAAGTGTTTGCTTAGCTGCAAGTTAGTACCGTGCAAAGCAAGTATAACACGAGGCCGGCGGGCAGCCAGAGAGGGCAACTTACAACCAACCAGTCCATACCCTCATCTAGACCTTTACCATCGATGGCGGAGCATGCTACGATGCTCCAGTTCCTATCTCGCAGCTCCCCAAGCTTCAGAGCTTCCGAGATCTCTCCGGCACCCTTGGCGCCGGGTTGATCCTGCTTGTTTGCGAACACCAGCAAAGCCGCATCGCGCAACTCTTCCTCGTTCAGCATAGCCGCAAGTTCATCCGCAGCTGTGCCAAGTCGCTCAATATCGGTAGAATCAATGACGAATATAACAGCGGCAGTGTTGGCGTAGTAGCACCGCCAGTAGGGCCGAATGGATGTTTGACCTCCGAGATCCTACAAATTATCGTACCTTAGCAAACTTCACAGGCTAAAAATTATCCGTCCTATTCCCAAGACACATTCGACATACCCAGACATTGAAATTCAGGTTTCTGTATGTGACTGACTCGACGTTAAATCCGATGGTGGGTATTGTTGTGACGACCTCGCCGATCTGTCAAAGTGCATGTCAGTTAGCGGGACGATCAGGAACCAGAGCATGACATAGATAATTAAGCAACTCAAGCATACCTTAAGCCTGTAAAGAAGTGTGGTTTTTCCAGCATTGTCCTACAGAGTCAATAAAGCGAATTAGCCTTAGACCTGACGAATTACATGCAGCGCAGAGCATGAGAGTACGTAGAACACGTACGAGACCTAATATAAGGATTCTAATCTCTTTCTTAGTCCAGAAGAAAGACCACAGACGTGATAGCGAGCCTCCCATTGTTGTGAATTTGAAAAGGGACACTGCAGCCGGCGGGCGTGATTGATCGAAAGGCAGAGGGAGGTGTTTGCGGAAGCGTTAGCCGTGAGGAGCAGGACAAGATATACGACTATGAGGAGATGATAGCAGCGTGGATCTGCTGGAACGAGATAGGATCAAGAGTATTTTGTTTCATAAGAATGAAGAAAATGAAATATAGAAGATATCAACCGCGCATTACTTTCAGCCTTGAATAGCTGACTAAATCGCGAGTTTCTTGGTGTGTCTTGTGGCAATCATTGGACCGCGGATGAACCCTGCGGCGCCGATCCGCCTGGCCCAAGCTCAAGTCATCAGTCACTTCTTAGGAGATAGGCATGATCTCTGAAACTATCCATTGAGCGGGATTGCGCCGTGACTGTCCTATTTCTGCACAAGAGTTGCGCCGCGCTTCTCTTCCCAGCTGCCGTTTCCCCCTTCTGCGACTCCGATACTACAGCTTTTCCATATCAACAGCCCTAGCGGTGAATGCTCCTATGCCTGCGCAGAGTCCACTTTGAAGAGCATCTTTGGCTTCGGACTGGGTCACAACCGGACTCTCATTTTCATCTCCTCGTGCATCTCGCAAAAGTCATTTTCACTGATTAAGGCGCCACCATGGTTGGCAAAAAATCTGGAAAGGCCCTCAAAGATGAGGGTGAGTATCCTTGGAGCCAGCGTCCTTAAACCGCTTCTTTCCCCAGTCCCCAGTCGTGCGACCAGTTATGACTGACAATCTTCTAATGGCAAGGCCTGGAGAGGACGGATAACAACATGGAGCTGTCGAATTGGCCTCAGATTGCGCCGATCAACCAAAAGAATTACTACACGTATGTCCGGCTCACGCGTGATTCAACCTGCAAGCATGGCATTTCTAGTTTCTATCACTAACTTGACGATTCCATTAGTGATTACCTCAAGAGGGACGATCAGTACCTAGCATTCCGACTACAAAATGAGGAGGCGAGGAACAAAATGGCCAAAACGGCCAAAGACCGGGATCGCGCTTTAGCCATGGCAAAAGCGAACGACTTGGGCTTACCCGAAACAGAGGCCGACGGTGATGGGGATACAAATATGGAGGAGGGAGCGGAGGATACAACAGAAACATTAGGCTCCAAGGTTATTGTCGTTCATGTCGGAAGCCAGAATCTGCGAATCGGCCTGGCCAGCGACGCACTGCCGAAGACTGTCCCTATGGTGATTGCTCGAAAATCGACCACAAGCGAGTCGGAAGACCATGACGAACCCCTCCCGAAGCGATTGAAGTTGGACGATGGCTCTCTGATGGAGCCTGAGAAAATGCTTGGTCCGGAGGTTTGTTCTACCCCAGCGCCTGGGCTTGATTTCGCCGTTTTATAACCTCTCCATGAAAATAGTTCTCCTCGCAATATACCACGATGGTCGCAGAACTCAAAGCGCACATGCGGCAAAACAAGCGCAGGACTTTACCCAACTCGAAAGAAATGGTTATCAACTATAATCGCAGAACGGTACCAGAGACCATCCCAGAACACAATGACCCGCTGCGTGTCGAATGGACAGATATTACCGACGATTCACCTGAATATATTGTAGGGCAAGCAGCGCTTAGAATACCTGACGACTCGAAACCCCGGTACAAGCTCTACTGGCCGATGCGATCCGGATGGTGCAACGAGAGAGACTATGAGAGCAAGAGACTCCTGTTCCTGGACATCTCACTCATTCTCGAGGACACAATCAAGAGCCAATTGGGCCTGATCAGCAAGAAGGAATGGCCTCAGTACTCTTGCGTTTTCGTTATCCCTGACTTGTACGAGAAGACTTACGTTACCCAAGTTCTCGAGATGTTGATGAGGGAGTTTTCGTTCGCCCGCGTCTGCTTCATCCAGGAGAGTTTAGCGGCCACCTTCGGTGCGGGATTCACATCAGCATGCGTTGTCGACATCGGCGCGCAAAAGACATCCATCTGTTGCGTGGAGGAAGGAATGTGTATTGAGAACTCTCGCGTCAACCTGAAATTTGGTGGAGCCGATGTGACCGAGGCGTTCATCAAGATGATGCTCTTTGACCACTTTCCGTACGCGGAGATCAACCTGTGGCGCCGCTACGACTTTTTGCTAGCCGAGGAGCTGAAAAAGAATGTCTGCACCTTGAATGAAGCGAGTGTCTCAGTGCAAGTGTTCGATTTTCACCTTCGCATTGCAGGTCAGGACACCCGGAAATATTCCTTCAAAGCGTACGATGAAGTACATCTCGCCCCGATGGGGTACTTCCAACCCTCGATATTCGACCACTCATGGAAACTTGAAGGAAGAAGAAAATTCATCACGCGGTCGGTGGATATTTACGACGGTCAGCCGAACGATCCAACATCGGGCGCCCAGTCTGAAATCTTGACTGCCATTGCCCCTCCTCCAGTCAATGGTCAAGTGAATGGTGAATCCCAACCCTTCACGTTAGATGTGCAGTCGACGCCGAGTCGCTCGCACCAAGTGAATGCACTCAGCCGTGTGCAGGAGCTGGATGCCACCCCCCGATCTTCGGTTGCCGGGTCGCCTGCTCCGGAAGCGATTGGTACGCCCCAAGGCGGGGGTGCTGGTACTCCACTCCCGGGTGGCCAGGGACAGAGCGCCTCGCAACCTCGTGCACCTACTGTCGAGGAGCGAGATGACGTTCTGCCAGTCTTCCCGCTGGATAATGCAATTCTCACATCTATTTCGCATGCGGCTCGATCCGATGAGCGTAAGATGCGGGACTTCCTCGGTGGGATCATGGTCGTAGGAGGCGGCAGTCTTGTCAACGGCTTCCACTCCTTCCTGGAAGAGCGTCTCCAGACGCTGAGACCTGGGTTTGCTAGCGAAATCATGGTCGGTACACCTCCAAGAGACCTCGACCCCCAAGTGGTAGTCTGGAAGGGCGCAAGCGTCTTCGGTAAGCTGAGCGGAACCAATGACAGCTGGATCGGACAATTGGAATATGATAGACTGGGTCACCGACTGATGGCGTACAAGTGTATGTGGGCATACTAGCACCGCTTTTCTTAATATTGCTTTCTCTTCACTTTTCTTGTGTCTTACGGATGGCGGAGTTGGTTTATGGACAGCACTACGGGGACTATTTCAGAACGAATACGGGTACCTAGCTTACCAGAGAGGTTCAATATTGACTCAATGAGACCATGTGATATTTCTAAGTGTCTGGCTATTCACTGACCTGGAATCTGACCATATAATGCGTTACATCACATGACGGTGCTGTGCTCTAGGGAGTGGAAATACAAAACAAACAGAACACGGCTTAACCTTTCTCCGCCCCTCAAAGGACCAACCCGCTAAGCTATAAACATCAGGCGGTAAAGAAGTGCAGAATGGTTCATCCTACCCCAAGTAAGTCCATTATATTTCACTACCCCCAGAGGTAGTAACAGCTGCTTTATACTTATCAATCTGAGCGCTCTGATATAGTTCTCGCGCCGGTTAATACCAGCAACGGAGGCCCAGACGGTTCTCTGGTTCCCGACTCTGACATCCCGTCGATTACGCTTGCCAACCAATGTAAGTTCGGAGCACCAGCTGGCGCAGCTTAACAGACTCACCCGCTGACATTACTGTGCAGTTTTCAGTCCGCCTCTTACTGATACGCGCTCGTCGAAGTCGGACACTGGAATTGCGGCCGAGATGTCGAAATCCAAAGACAGCGGCTCCTCTGGGAGTTTCCATCAGGAGTACATCGCGTCTTTACGTTACCGGAATGATCTGCCTCCGCCTGATATGCCACCCAAGTTCCTCGATATTCCGCATGAGGGTTTGCAGCGATTTCTAACACCTGGTTTCGCATCTAACTTGGCGCGACGTGAGGAGCCCAATATCGATGTTGATGCCGAGGGTGGTATGCCGATAGACCTTGTCGGTATTCCGGGGCTGCATTTGGGTGATGAGAGTGGTAAGCCGAAGTTCCACTTGCGCTTTTTGTCACATATCGCTCGGAATCTAACTCAATGTAGCTATTATGGCCCCTGAAAACCCTCAACCGATTGATCCCGCCGACCTTCCGCTGCTCATGACTTTAGACCAGCTCAAGAACCCAGCACCCAAGAACGCGAACGTCAGTTTCCTTCGTCGGACGCAATATATCTCTGCCGGTCTCCGCGCTCCCGACGGCCCCAAGGTCACCCCTATCAGAGCAAAGGCCCGTTCCCTCGACAAAGCGAAATCACAGGATGATCCGATGTACATCAAAAAATACATTCAAAAAGGGTTCGATATCGCTTATCCGGATAGCAGACATGTTGGGGAGGATACACCGAGCAGAATCAAGGGCCACACTCCCACCAAAGTCGAGGTTGACGCTTGGGCTCACCCTGTTCATCCTGACAATCCAAAGCTTAAACCGGTCGGGTTCTACCCTCTGCTCCCCGATCTACAAGGATTCCCAGACCCGGGAGGATTCGTTCAGTTCAAATTCGACAAAGCGCCTGTTCAGGGCATTTCAGGGAAACGAGACGAGCGCATGGACGTGGCCATTCTTCTTCCTTCAGCACCAGAAGAACGAGTCTGTCAGGAGCATGCGACCAAAGCCGCTTTACACAAGTCGAATCCCGCATTGTACCCTGATCCTGGTCCGATACCGTGGGATTACGATCTATTCTTGCCCGAGAAGAAGGACTTGGCCAAGGAAGTCATTGCGAGCCTGCGGCTTTCGAACCCCGATCGCGACAGTGAAGTCCTGTACACTCATGAAGGAACGGATGGCACGAGGTTCCATCGTTACGAACGCATGCGCACATACGCCACTAGTGCTCAGACCCTCGGCAATGACCAGAAGCAACGCGATGTCGCTCTGACCCTTTTCGATCCAGCGGAGGCAAAGGAAGGACAGCAGTCGAGACAAAGAGGCGCATACTACTATCCTATCCTCGGAAAGACCCGTCTGAAGCCCGAGCGGGCCCGTACCATTGCGCAGGCGGGTCTTGCCCCCACGCGGCCGAAGACAAAGGAGGACCAGGTAGACCAAATTCAGGTGGTTGTCCGTGATCCGGACGAGGCGGAGGTATACAAACGCTCTCTGCACAGAGCGGCCATTGATCCGAAATTTGCAGAAGCTCTCCCCCCGCCTCCCGAGCCTGCTCCTGAGGAGGAACATCCGGAGACCCACGACTCCGACAGAGGAGAAGAGGCGGCTGGAGATCGCAATCACCAGCCAACTGCTGCAGACGTGAGCGAAGAGGAAGACAGGATGAGCGACGAATAGACCACCATTCCTTGATTTCCTTGTCTCGCCCACCGCGTCATTTATGGCCCTGCCGTTTGGTCGATTTTGCTGCCATGCTCTTGGCCAAGCGGCGCATTGTTTCCATCATTGTAACATTTCAACATTCTCATACCCCATTTCATAACGGCATACATTGAAGATATGTGAGGGGCCTTGGGCCTTTAACTCCCTAATTCCGATGTATTCTTACGCAGGCTTAGCTTTCAGGCTGCTGCTACTCAGCAGTGGTTGGTTCGTCATCGATGTTGAAGCAGCAGGATTACTGGCGTTCAAAAGGCGTGAATGAAATTGGAGTCGAATAGATATTCTGGCAATCAAATCCGTGAACTGATTACTTTTTGTAAAGCTGCAGCCATCTTGTATTTCCTCGACCTGCATAGTAATGGTCAAACCCAGCTGTTAAGCCGCACACCGCTCGGAGATTGTGAAGCATTATGCCGGGAATATCCTTGACCGCCCGCTGCATCCGTTGACGCAAGAGGAACAGAAGAAAAAGAGTCTACCGGATTTTGCGAAGCCTGTTCCTAGAAGGCTGACTGGTTTGATTGCGGGGAATTGGCCGCTGCTATTCATTTGGTACTAGGCCCTTATTTTTGCATTGGGCTCTGATTGTTGTAATCTGAAGGTGAGTTGCTGGTTTTTCGTTTCCCGGATTAATTAGTTGTTGAGCTTGTGGTCCAATCGCCCTTGAAACGTATCTACCATGTATCGGTCTTCAACGATATGATATCTCTGACTGCCCTGTAGGACTACTCAATTGGGCTGACCAAGCACCCCGGCCAGCCAGACTCAACATGGTTGCCAATTCGACCAGCCTCGCCTGGAGATCGGCCGGTTTGCGGGCCCGCGCCGTGCCATCATTGCGATGCTCCCATCGGTCCTCGGTCCTTCACAGACAGGCCGCTTTCCAGCAACAAGGTGCCGTGCGACATGCCTCAGGCACGACCAGCGAGGCAGCTGAGGCAATAAAGGAGGCCCCCAAAAAGGCCGGCCGCGGTCTTAAGAGAACGGTGTACGGAACATCGTTGGTCCTCGCTGCATTGGTGGGTTATGTATATGCGACGGATACCAGGGCAAGCATCCACCGCTACGCTGTGGTTCCTCTTGTTCGGATGCTTTATCCGGACGCGGAAGAGGCGCATCATATTGGTGTGGAAGCTCTGAAGACGCTCTACAAGTATGGACTTCACCCGCGGGAACGCGGCAACCAGGACGGCGACGGTGTGTTGGCTACTGAGGTAATACAGCCCTGACGTGTATAAGTGTTTGTTGCTTAGCAGGATTTTGCTTTTGCAGGTCTTCGGATATACGCTCAACAACCCCATTGGTATCTCGGGCGGCCTTGACAAGCATGCTGAGATTCCCGACCCGTTGTTCGCTATTGGCCCCGCGATTGTTGAAGTCGGCGGCACGACTCCCCTGCCGCAGGAGGGCAATCCGCGACCTCGTGTGTTCCGACTGCCATCTCAGAAAGCCATGATCAACCGATACGGCCTGAACTCCCTGGGCGCAGACCATATGGCGGCCATCCTGGAGAAACGCGTGCGGGATTTCGCCTATGCCAACGGGTTCGGCCTGCACGATGAAGCGGAGCATCGGGTTCTCGACGGCGAAGCCGGCGTGCCCCCCGGCAGTCTTCAGCCCGGACGACTGCTGGCCGTGCAGATTGCAAAGAATAAGGCGACGCCCGACTCAGACATCGAGGCCATCAAGCGCGACTACGTCTACTGCGTTGACCGACTGGCCAAGTACGCCGATATCCTGGTTGTGAACGTCTCCAGCCCCAACACGCCTGGCTTGCGCGACCTGCAAGCGACCGCGCCGCTGACCGCCATCCTCAAGGCCGTGGTGAGCGCCGCCAAGAACGTCGACCGCAAGACTAAGCCTTACGTGATGGTCAAGGTTAGCCCGGACGAGGACTCGGACGAGCAGGTCTCCGGCATCTGCGACGCGGTATGGCATTCGGGAGTGGACGGCGTCATCGTGGGCAACACGACCAACCGCCGGCCTGCGCCGCTGCCGCAGGGCTTCACTCTTCCGCCAAAGGAACAGACCACGCTGAAGGAGACGGGCGGCTTCTCGGGTCCCCAGCTGTTCGACCGCACCGCTGCCCTGGTGGCCCGCTACCGGGCGCTGCTGGATGCACCGCCCGCTCCGGCGTCCGATGCGAATGAGACCGACCAAGCCAAGGAACTGGCAGCAGCCGTGACGCGAGCCGAGCCTGACGTGGAGAACGTGCCCGCAGCCGAGCCGCCTACTGCCGCCAATCGGCCGGCGCGCAAGGTGATCTTTGCCTCTGGGGGTATCACCAACGGCAAGCAGGCGCAGGCTGTGCTGGATGCGGGGGCCTCGGTCGCGATGATGTACACGGCCCTGACATACGGTGGAATCGGCACGGTCACTCGAGTGAAGCAGGAGTTGCGAGAGGAAAAAGAAAACCGCCAATAGACGGTGGAATGGAAGCAGCGTTTCAAATAATTGTAAATAGTCCAGCATTGTCAACGATCATTATTATCATCCTTTCGGTTATTCACATCATTAAAGTTCTAGCTACGTACTTAGTGAGTCCACTATTGCTTTGGCAATGTCTCCTCCACCTCCTGGACCACCTTTTTGACACCGTCAATCTCATGCGCAAACCTCCCCAGAAACATCCCATCAACCGCCTTTCCCAACCCCCCATCTCCCCACAACCCCGGCCCCGCGCTCCCCCCATACAACACCCTCACCTCCCCCTCCCGCTCTCCAATCACCGCCCTTATCCCCTCCACCACGGCCGCAACATGGTCCACCCCAGCAGGCTTCGCCTTCCCAATCGCCCAAACAGGCTCATACGCAAAGATGACCGGCGCCGCGGCAGGGATCGCACCCAGCACCGCGCGCATCTGCCCCGCACATTCACGCACCGCCAGCCCGACTGCCTCCGACGCGATGGCCCCCGGCGCGGTAACCTCCCCGATGCAAACGAGGGGGATCAGGCCCTGGTCGACGGCCGCGGCCGCCTTGCGGGCTATCTGGTCATCCGTCTCGGCGAAGAGGGCGCGGCGCTCGGCGTGGCCCAGCTCGACTAGACGGACGCCGAGGGAGCGCAGCGAGGCGGGCGAGACCTCGCCTGTGTAGGCGCCTGCGGCCTCCCAGAAGCAGTCCTGGGCGCCGAGGAGGAAGGGGGGTTCCGGGTCGAAGTCGGAGGGGGCCTGGAAGCCGGCGGCCCAGTCTTTGATGATTTGGGCGCAGGGGTAGATGGTGAGGAAGTCGGGGATGAGGGCTAGGAGGAGTCTGGTGCGGTTTTTGGGGAGGACAATCTTGTTCATGGGGGCTAGGAGGTCGCGCAGGTAGGAGAGGGTGCGGTCCGGGGAGAAGTACATTTTGAGGGAGATGATGAGGAGGGTTTTGGGGAGGGGAGGGAAGGTTGCTTTCGTAGTGGCCATTTGTATTGTCTTCCTGGTATTGTGTGCTGCTGATTGCGCTGTGGATGCGGTAGTTTGGTTGTTGATTAGTTAGGTTGACTGGTAGCTAAGCTGAGGGAGGATGACAGCTCGGATACCCCTCGGATGAGCTAGGACACAATTTGGCTGCCAACGAAGGTGAGTAAGTATTTGAGGTAAGACAGGAATGTCCCTCCTGGTTGTTTGGACATACCTCTAGGGATGGGTTGTTAATGAAGAAGCAATTATGCAGTGTGTCGTCTGGTGATGTCACTGGTTAATGGGCATTCTATGGTGTGTTTCAGGACTGACAGCTCTCAGCACAGGAACGTGTTGATGGGCTGACCAAGGAAAACAAAGGGTCGAATCAGAATATCTCTATCCCTCAAACCTGTCATTGAGTCTAGACTTGTCTTTTGTCAATATCTGCTAGTCATGGGATGCTCTTCTGCTGCAAGTCGGCGCAACTCCGATGCCTGAAGCTGTGGCTGTACGGGCGTCGGGAGGCTTGTTTGGGATATCCTTAGAGGTACCTGACCAAGTATGTTATTACAGCCTCGGTACACCTCCTTGATACGTCCATGGATTTAGCTTAGGCTTCAGAATTCCTCCCTGGATAGCTGGACAATAATGGAAAGAAACGGAACGAGATGGATACGGAGTATGGATCCCGTAATAGGTACCTATATTATTAGTGTGAAGCCATCCCGAGGAGCCGCTTGGGCCTCTTCATTATTGGACATTAAGAATTAATGAATGGATGATGCACACTTGACCAAGAGCAGCAAGCCGATTCTATCGAATTAAATTATATGAAAAGTGGGGAATGGACCATCGTGTAGGAGTTCATGAAGCCGAGACTGTCATTTTTGATATCAGAGTCTGTATCCATCATGCCTTTTCCGACATGGATAGATGCCATTACGCGGTGTAGTGTCCTCCGCCGACAATCATGAGTAAGAACCTGTATTCTCTCAAGTTATGGGACAGTAAGGTAGTAGTAAATCAACTCGTTGATACTGGACATGATACCTCTGCATCTATGCATGTGGATCCCTAATACTAGTCTACCACTAGTCCACCCCAGAAGAGTTCCGATGGAACCCCAGAATAGGTATTCCGGGGTTTCAACGGACTCACTGTGCAATCCTCGAAGCCATGGTTTCATCGCCGAGATCCCAAGGAGTCGGCTTCACAGGTATACAAAGGCAACGTGGGGGGATGGAAGAGTCGCTTCCAAAGAATCGTACGAGAACAGATGCACAGGAGTGTCATGCAGGATGAGCATACTGAACCATTATAGTTCTCAAGCCAGCTCAGCATCAAAAGTCTCCTTCGTGTCTGCGTCCAAGCACGGATAGACGAAACTCTCTAGCCAGGGCCAACCTGTCTGTCACTGGCTCTCTCGTCTCAAACAAGCTCCACTCGGTATCCCAATATACTTACCTCTCAGAGTCAAGGTAATGAAGATCAGCTTTGTTGAACGCGGGGTTTCCGGGCTGGCTGGTGTCATACTGCAGGACGGTACAAACTCTTATGCTATAACCATCCGCC